ATTAGGTTTCTCAGTAGGGGCATGTAGCAGAGATGATGCTATATGTTCACAAATCTATTTCCTTTTGCTCTTGGGCAGTCAGATTGCATTCCACAGTATACTCTATAGTTAGATGAGGTCATATGACTGTGTTCTGGCCAATGAAGTATAGCCAGAAATGTTGTATGCCACTTCCAGGTCCAGCTCCTAAAACCTGTGAAATTCTTTACATTCTCACTCTTTCTTCATCTATTATCTTAGTTACAGAGAATTAAGTAGTGGAGAATTCTGAATGCTGCTTCCCCTCTACCTCCACAATGGACTGTGTTGCTAAGCCACTGAGTTTGGGGGTGTGGTGTCATTTGTTACAGCAACTAAGATTACTTAGACCAATACAGGCCACTAACCTTGTTACAGTGTATTGTGCAGTTAAGAGTAGAGACTGGTGGGCAGCTCCGGTGGCGCAGTGGTTTAGCGCCACTTGAAGCCTGGGGTGTGATCCTGAAGATCCCGGATCGAGTCCCCCATCAGGCTTCCTGCATGGAGCCTGCTTCTCCCTCTGCCTCTCTCGCTCTCCCTGAATAAATAAATAAATCTTAAAAAAAAAAAAAAAAAAAGAGTAGAGACTGGGAAGATGGACTCTGTTAAGAAAGACAATTCAACCAAGTAAACTTGAATATCTAATTGGCTTTATTAAACAATTCATGAATCAGGGAGCACCCCATCTAGCCTGTAGAGGAGAGCTCCAAGGAGGAGGCATACAAAATGGAAGGTTTTTATTTTTTTAAAGACTTATTTTTATTTTTTTTACCTATTTTTTTAAGATTTATATATTTAAAAAAAAGATTTATTTTTAGAGAAAGAGAGTGAGGCACTTGGGTGGCTCAGTGGTTGGGCATCTGCCTTTGGCTTGAGTCATAATCCCAGGGTCCTGAGATCGAGTCCCTCATCAGGCTCCCTGCCAGGAGCCTGCTTCTCCTCTGCTTGTCTCTGCCTCTCTCTCTCTCTCTCTCTCTGTATTTATTCAGAAAGAGGCAGAGACACAGGCAGAGGGAGAGGCAGACTCCATGCAGGTAGCCCAATGTGGGACTTGATCCTGGGACTCCAGGATCACACCCTGGGCTGAAAGCAGATGCTTTAACCGCTGAGCCACCCAGGCGTCCCCCAAAAATATATATATTTTTAAAGATTTTATTTATTTATTCATGAGAGATAGAGAGAGAGAGAGAGGGAGAGAGAGAGACAGAAACATAGGCAGAGGGAGGAGCAGGCTCCACGCCCTACACGGGACTCGATCCCGGGTCCCAGGGTCAGGCTCTGGGCCGAAGGCGGTGCTAAACTGCTGAGCCACCTGGGCTGCCCCCAAATAAATAAAATCTTAAAAAACAAACAAACAGAGAGAGAGAGAGAGAGCTTGCATGTGACTGTGAGGCAGGGTGAGGGAGCAGAGGGAGAGGGAGAGAATCTGGAGCAGACTCCTTGCTGAGTGCAAAGCCCACGCGGGGCTTGATCTCCCAACCCTAAGATTGTGACCTGAGCTGAAATCAGGAGTCAGACGTGTAAGATAAGATGCCCCCCAAATGGAAGGTTTTTATAGGAAGGAGCCTGGCACAAGAAAGTTATTAGCAAGAGAAAAGGATTATTCCAGGCAAGTTCCTTTCCCTTAAGGAGTATTATGCAGATTACCTAGTTTTCCTTTGGGGAAAGAAAATGCCCATGTAGGGGCTCATTGGTGCTAATCAGAAAATTCCTGACTAATCAGTGAAGACAACGTGTCTGTGGAAATTGAAACACAGTTATAGGGGATCCCTGGGTGGCTCAGCAGTTTAGCGCCTGCCTTTGGCCCAGAGCACGATCCTGGGATCGAGTCCCACGTCGGGCTCCCAGCATGGATCCTGCTTCTCCCTCCTCCTGTGTCTCTGCCTCTCTCTCTCTATGTCTATAATAAATAAATAAATTAATTAATTAATAAATCTTAAAAAAAATGAAACACAGTTAAATTAGGCATTAAGCCTGGGTTTGGGGCAGCCCAGGTGGCTCAGCAGTCTAGCGCCACCTTTGGCCCAGGGTGTGATCCTGGAGTCTTAGAGATGCGGGATCGAGTTAGGTGTGGGGCTCCCTGCAGGGAGCCTGCTTCTGTCTGTGCCCCTCTCTCTCTCTGTCTCTCATGAATAAATAAATAAAATCTTAAAAAAAAAAAAAGCCTGGGTTTGAAGACTTGACCTATTCTTTTTTAAATATTTTTTTAAGATTATTTATTTATTTACTCATGAGAGACGCAGAATGAGAGAGAGAGAGGCAGAGACACAGGCAGAGGGAGAAGCAGGCTCCAAGCAGGGAGCCCGACGTGGGACTTGATCCCAGGACTCCAGGATCACACCCCGGGCTGAAGGTGGCCCTAAACTGCTGAGCCACCGGGGCTGCCCTGAAGACTTGACCTGTGTGATGCCAATTTTGGACTGCAAGTTTTCTTTTCTTTTTCTTAAGATTTATTTATTTATTTATTTATTTATTCATTCATTCATTCATTCATTCATTCATTCATTCATGAGAGACACACAGAGAGGCAGAGACACAGGCAGAGGGAGAAGCAGGCTCCATGCAGGGAGCCCAATGTGGGACTGGATCCTGGGACTCCAGGATCATGCCCTGAGCCGAAGGCAGGTGCTTAACCGCTGAGCCACCCAGGCATCCCTGCAAGTTTTGTTTTCAACAATGTTGTATTAGAGATCTTCAAGGGATCCTGGAGGGAAAGGGCTCAGTAGGCTCCATCTCAGCCATTCTGTTCCTCCCCCAAAAAGTCATCTTGGAGACAGAGAAGAGGTTTGGAAGTGTTCCTGAAGAGATGTTTCTGAAGGGGGTGAGAAGTTATTTGGCATTGATGAGAGAGCAGAAGGCAAGCTGAGGACAAAGCACAGACACCCTGCAAACCCCTCCCTCTTCTCCCAGGTGGGACAGGTGTGACATTCCTCAGGCACTCCTGGCTGCCCTAAAGCTAAGGGAAGGAAAAACAAATGGTTAACTTACAGAGATACAGTCCAGCAAGACAAGAGTCTCCCTCAGTTTACAAATGTCTTAGTGACATTTGTAAGAAAAAAGCATTCTTATCAATAACCTAATTTCCAGAAGGAAGCTCCCAACTGTCTTAATGTTAATGCTTTACTAGAGGAAAAAACAACCTTAACTTGACAATGGCAAGGCCTCCAGTATCTCGTAGATCCTCTTTTTTTTTTTTAACAAAGTTGAATTATCCTCTTTTTTTTTTTTTTAAGAGTTTATTTATTCATTCATGAGAGACACAGAAGCAGAGAGAGGCAGAGACACAGGCAGAGGGAGAAGCAGGCTCCACCCAGGGATTCCGATGTGGAATCGATTCTAGGTCTCCAGGAACACACCCTGGGCCAAAGGCAGCACTAAACCGCTGAGCCACCTGGGCTGCCCTGTAGATCCTCTTTAGCATATGAAAGTTCTTTTAAAAACCTCCCTTTTTCCTTACCCCCAGTTCCCAAGTATATAATCAGCCACCCCTCGCAACCCTGGTGCAGCAGCTATTTCTGCCCAGGGTCCTGTCCCTGTTGCTTTAATAAAATCACCACCTTTTGGGACCAAAGACCTCTCAAGAATTCTTTCCTGGCTGTTGGCTCTGGACCTCACCTACATTCAAAACTGTATCAGCATGATGTAAGGAGTAGCACTGAAGCACTGGTGTTCTTGGGAAAATGGGTCTGCCTCCAAAATCCAGTCACTCCAACAACAAAGATGGCTGAGAGAGGAGGAAAGCAAATCTATCCTAGCTCCCCCCACCCCACCGCCACCCCAAAGAATGAAAAGCCAGTGGTATAGGTTAAATGCTCATTTCTCAGTTTCCTGCTCCCTGCCCCCTACCTAGTAGTCTCTTCAGATTCCAGTCTGAGGACCTAGGGCAGAGATTAGGTAAATGACCAATGACCCAGTTTTTGCATCTGAGCTGCAAAACACCTGGGTTGGCCTGGCCTGGGTTGGGGGAAGGGGCCTCCCTACTACTGGGGAGTTCCTATCTTCTGTCTTGAGTCTCACTGAAATCTCAGAGCATTTTAGAGCATGGAGAAGAGCCTGGAAGCTTGGGTTCAAATCTTAGCTAGGCCACTAATCCTCTAGGTGACCTTAGGCTTCTGTTCTGCATGTGGAATGAGCAGGGGGTTCAAACAATATTTAGGAGTCTTTTAAAAAGTGCCAAGGGAGGAATTAATTTGAATTTTTTTATCCTAGTGTAAAGGAAACACCCCTGATCCTACCTAGATGGTGGCTGATTATATACCTGATTATATACCTAGATGGTGGCTGGAGCTACTGACAGTTGGGTCCTGTCCACACTTCTACATTTCTTTTAGCCTTCTTACAAGACAATTCACTTCTTGTGCTTGTAACGCTAAATAACTAAATAAATAACATGGTTACTTAGGCTCTTTCCCCCCCAAACCTGTTTCTCCAGCCTGCAGGGGATGGGGTTTGATTTTGGTGAAGTATTCACTCCTCCAGGTAGTAACTGGAAGCCAGGGTTGAGCTGAAGCAGATCGCTCCCACCCTCACCCTCATGCCATTTTGCTTCTCCACCTTGGCGATTGAACAAGTGCGACAATTGTGGATTCAGGATTATACCCCTACCCGACCCCAGACTGTGAACTGCTGGAGAGCAGAGACGATGCCTGACTTGTGCAGGGGCATCCCTTTGCCCCACATGGAGCCTAGGGGCCTGGCACACAGATCTTCAGTAAATATTTGCTGAACGAGTGACCAAATGAATGACTGAATACGGCAAAGAAATCTTGTGTCACGGAGCTGAGGGATCTGCAAGCAGCGGTTTTTACAGATAATTTTTTCCTAAAGTAGTGACTTGGCCCGAGGGTATACTGGGATGACCAAAGCGCCCCCTCCCCCCCAAAGCTAGGCTTTTCCGGAGTCGCGCCCGCGGTCGGGTGGGCGGTCCCTTAGGCGGTCACCTGCTAGAGGTTGGCCAATCATCGGGGGGCGGGGCGGGTCAGACCCAGAGATGGGTGAGAGTCTGCTCTATAGAGCTCCAGAGGATCCCCACCCACGCAAGTGGCCTAATGTCGCGCAGCGGATCACCCCCTGAGCAGCGCCAGCAGGCGTCAGAGGCGGATGCCACGGCCACAACCTTCCGAGCGAGCGGTAACTGCAGGGCGGCTGGGACGCGCTGGGACGCGGAGCCGAGCCCTCCCTTTGCTTGGAAAGTTACCGTCCCTTCCCCGAGGTCGGTGCCCCACCCGGCCAAGCCTCCGCGACCGAGTTGGGGCCGAGGCTAATTAGGACCTGGGAAAGCTCAAGCTCGCGTCTTTGGCTCCTGAGCAGGAGAGGGCCGAGACGGTGCCTCCAGGCTTGGCCCTGCTGGTGGGTGAGACCCAGGCCAGAGGGAGTCAGAGAGTTTTGCTGATTGATCTTGCCTTTCTGTCCCCAGAACATCAGCATATCCGCTACAACCCGCTACAAGATGAATGGGTTCTGGTGTCAGCTCACCGCATGAAGCGGCCCTGGCAGGGGCAAGTAGAACCCCCGCTCCTGATGACAGTTCCCCGCCATGACCCCCACAACCCTCTGTGTCCCGGGGCCACACGCGCCAATGGAGAGGTAAGCCTTTAGAACCTGCATCTGCAACTGAGCCCCGAGTAGTAGCTCCTTCTTAGAGCTGCCCCTCACCCACAACGGAGTGGACTCCCTTCTGTGTTATAACCCACGGAGTCTTTCTGACCCCACAGCGGGCCCTCCACACCCCCCCTGTAGCCTGTCTGGCCCCTGAAGCTGGCCAGATGACTGGTGGGTATGGAGCAGCAAATGCTTCTAGACCATCCTTGTCAGTAGGTGAATCCCTATTATGATGGCACCTTCCTGTTTGACAACGACTTTCCAGCTCTGCAGCCTGATGCCCCCAATCCAGGTAAACTGTGGGGGGGGGGGAGGCTGGACTTGTTGGGGGACTTCTGTTGCAGAGAATGATACCCTTTTATCTCAGGACCCAGTGATCATCCTCTTTTCCAAGCGGAGGCTGCTCGAGGAGTTTGGTAATAACTATGGATTTCCTTTCTTACCTTCAACCCAGGGCTTGGACTGAGCACTAGGTTGGGCCCTGCCCCTGGCACAGCCAAACCCATATCACTGTCATTTCTTCCTCCTACACCACCTAGTAAGGTCATGTGCTTCCATCCCTGGTCAGATGTAACGCTACCACTTATGTCAGTCCCTGAGATCCGCACTGTCGTCGATGCGTGGGCCTCAGTGACAGAGGAGCTGGGTGCCCGGTACCCTTGGGTGCAGGTCTGTGAGGTTGCCCCCTCCCCTGGATGGGCAGGGAGAGGGTGGTGCAGATTTGGTGCTGGGAAGTAGTATTCCTGTTTTCACAGGATGTGGTCAGGAAAGGCTGGTTTGGTGTCTCTTTGGCTATTAAAGCTACCTACCTCTACCCGATAGATCTTTGAAAACAAAGGAGCCATGATGGGCTGTTCCAACCCCCATCCCCACTGCCAGGTAAGTGTGTCAGGGGCCCTAGTGGATTTGTGGGGTGAGTTCAAGGCAGTACTGTGGGGAAAGGACCTAGAGGGACAGAGTAAATATGCTAGTAATGTGGAGGCTTGGAGGCAAAGGATCTGCCAGCTGTTCTCTGCTCCTGCCCCTTGACAGGTGTGGGCCAGTAGTTTTCTGCCAGATATTGCCCAGCGTGAGGAGCGATCTCAGCGGGCCTATCAGAGTCAACATGGAGAGCCCCTGCTAATGGAATATGGCCGCCAGGAGCTGCTCAGAAAGGTGCGGAAAAGCCAGACCCTGTTTCTGCAAGGAACCCCTACCCTCAGCCCAAAAGAGAAAGGTGTATGAAGGAGAAGGGTAGAAGGAAAATAGAAGAGAGACTTGATGGGTAAGCCATAGCAATAATCAAAAAGGAAAGATGACAGTGGCTTAGATTAGGGTGGTAGTAGTGGAGATAAGATTCTGGGTACATTTTTTCTTCTTCTCCTGCCTATTTGCTGACAGTCCCCCAACCCCATCCCTTCATGACCTCAACTCTACTTGATCTGCCCAGGAACGACTGGTCTTAACCAGTGAGCACTGGTTAGTACTAGTCCCTTTTTGGGCAGTATGGCCCTTCCAGACACTGCTGCTGCCCCGTAGGCATGTGCGCCGCCTGCCTGAGCTGACCCCTGCTGAGCGTGATGGTGAGTCTTCCAGCTGGGACCCTGGGGCCAGGCATAGGATGGGGATAGCTCTGGTAGGGCCAGCATCTTGGCCCCAGGCTGAGAGTCAGGCTCTGATTCCAGATCTAGCCTCCATCATGAAGAAGCTCTTGACCAAGTATGACAACCTATTTGAGACATCCTTTCCCTACTCCATGGGTTGGCACGGTAAGGCTTTTTGAGCATCCATACCTAGCTCTGACACCAATTCTGAGGTCCTGAGGCCAGCTCAGTGGACTGCAACCCCCAGCAGGCTTTGAAATACTTGTTGGGGGAAGTGTCCAGACCAGGGGTGCTGGGACTGAAGGTGGAACAATAAACTTGGTGAAACTGTGTCTCCTAGTGTTTTCCAATGCCTGGTCTACTCAGTGGCAAGGAATGCTGGGAGATGTAGTTTTCAGGTAGCTAGCTTAGTTTAGGGGTAGGGGCTAGGCTGAAGAACTAGAAAATGACCCTTCCCAATTATCTCTTCTTCTGTCAGGGGCTCCCACAGGATCAGAGGCTGAAGCCAACTGGGATCATTGGCAGCTTCATGCTCATTACTACCCTCCACTCTTGCGCTCTGCCACCGTCCGGAAATTCATGGTTGGCTATGAAATGCTTGCCCAGGCTCAGAGGGACCTCACCCCCGAGCAGGTCAGATTTCAGAGCACTCTGGGTCCTTGGGTGCTACTTTTGCCTCCCATTTTCCCAAGGGAACTCAATAATCATGACCCTGAAAACCGCTATAACCTAGGAGCTGCTCAGCAATATCCTCTGGTTACTTTGGCAGTCTTTATCACCAGCCTCCTGGTCCTACTAGCCTTCCCCCCAGTGTCTCCTAGGTACTCATTATTACTGTTCGACTCATACCACTCCATACCACCATTCTGGGCAGCCTCCTCCTCCCTGATTGCCCCCTGTTCCCTTCCAGGCTGCAGAGAGACTAAGGATGCTTCCTGAGGTTCATTACTGCCTGGGGCAGCAGAAGGATAGGGAGACAGCAACCATCGCCTGACCACGCTGACCACAGGGCCTTCTGCTTGAGGGAACCAGGGCCGAGGGTTGGGAAGATGTGGGATCAATAAAACTAAACTGTGTTTCTCAAACTTATTCTAATGACAGAGGAGTATGAACTATAATCCTTGGGGATCTGGGTTAAAGGCTGATGGCATAGCACCAGCCACAACTCTTCTTTGCCTACAAATATACAAAACTTAGAGTACAAAAATTCCACCCCAAATCTCTGAATAAAATGAATACTCAATTTAATGTCTGGCCTATAGATTCTCTTATTCCTGGAGTAACAAAGGCATCACAGTTTAAGAAACTTTGAAAATTCTGTGTTCTTGTCTGTGGCTAAGGCTTTCGGAAGGCCAGAGCCCCCTTTACCACTACCCCTGGGATGATATGTCAGCTCATCAAGCCTAGGCCTGAGGGTTTGATGGGGAGTGGGGGAGCAGGATCCTGGATCCAGTGGTCAGTGGCCAGACACTGGGCTGCTGGCCAGAACCTCGGCTTTTTGAGTGGCTGCAGCTTGGCTCTGCTCCAGCCCACAGGGGCTGAAGGGGCGGGAAGGGAACGTGTACGTGGCTTTGTGTCCTTGACTTCTCTAGACTCTCATGTGCAGCATATAATTGCAGGCTCTGCACGTTTGTAGTTGCCCATGTGCCCCAATTATTGCAGCAGAAGAAAGGAAGAAAACAGCTCTGGCAAGGAAGGGGCTAACAGAGTTAGGAGCCTCAGCACCTGGAAGGAGGGGATGGTTCTTGGAGTGATCTTGAGTCTGTCCCCACTCCTCCCAACCTGTTTCTTTTCTTTCTTTTTTTTTTTTTTTAATATTTTATTTATTTTATCATGAGAGGCAGAGAAGCAGAGACATAGGCAGAGAGAAAAGCAGGCTCCATGCAGGGAGCCTGATGTGGGACTCCATCCCGGGACTCCAGGATCACGGACTGGGCCAAAGGCAGGTGCTCAACCTCTGAGCCACCTAGGTGTTCCCCAATCTGTTTCCTTGGCAAGACTGTATGACTATGGCAATATTAGGGCATGCAACCCAGGAGACCTGATGCCATCTAGTGCCCTCCAAACTTTTAGGTGAGGATAGGGCTGGTGAGCAATGCAAGAATGGCCAGAGGCTTTTTATCTTCATTCTTTCAAGGCAACTGAGTTTGGGAGGGGTATCATGCCAGGACTAAACAGTGATGATTTGGCTTGGGAGAACCCTGGCTGCCTGTCTTCTAGTCCAGGGTTTTTTCTTCCTTGAGACCCTGAAGGGATAGGGTCTGGGACTTGGAGTATCTGGAAGGACCTCAGACAGACATGGTACACATCTCCGTTGAGACCTCAGTCACTGGGAGTGGATGTGAACCCTGGATGTGTTGCCGGCTTAAGGCACACTTACACAAACACCTGACCCAACACTCTTGATTTGACTGCATTTTGGAATCGTTTGGGAGTTTTAAACCCTAATGCCAAGGCCCTTCCAGAGATCGGATTTAATTATTTTGGAGTGTGGCTTGGCTGTTTTAAAACCACAATGCCCAGCGAAGTTTAAGAATCACTGTCCCACAGAAGTCCTTATCTGGAGTCAGGGGCACCTTCACCTTCTCCAATCACCTGACCAGTGGCTCCTGAGCCACTGAACTTGGTTTTGTTTTTGGACTGCTGTAAGGAGGAGGGGCCTGAAAACTTCAGCCCTGCTGTCCCAGGAGGGCACGACTGCAGGCTCGGACCCAGGAATCCATCTCCAGACTCTGTCCCCCTGCGGGCTCCTCAGTCCGGGACGGGACAGGAAGTGTCCGGCAGAGGTGGGGTGGAGGTGATTGGCAGTTGGAGGCACCAATAGGCCCAGACCCCCTCCCTTTTCACCCCCGTCCCTCCATTGGTGCCTGGGCGGAGCCGCCCCCGCTGCTGGGGGCCCCGGGGCGGGAGGGAGTAGAGGCCGGGGCAGAGGGCGAGGGCGGAGGGCGCTGGCGGCGGAGGCCGCAGAAGGTGAGGCCTGGTGGGGCCGGCGGGAGTGAGAGAGGGAGCCTTGCCAGGAGAGGGCGGGGCTGGCTAGTGTACGCTCTGAAGGGCCTAGACTGACTGATGGACTGTCAGTGTGTGCGTGGGACTGTGAGGCTGTGTGTGACGCTGTCAGTGTGTGGACCTGTAACTGAGTGTCACTGGGTGCAGCTGTCAACTAATCTGGCTGCGTGTGTTCAGTGTGCATGTGGTCGAGGCTGCATGTGGCTGTGCAAGTGTGGTGGTTCTGTGTTTGTGTCAGTGTGCAGTTTTGGGTGAGAGACTGAGTTGTGTGTTTGTGTGTGAGAAGGCCTGTGACCACATGGGGCATGTGTTTTGGGAAGGTCTTTTTGGGGTTTAAGACTGTGTCTGTGTGAGAGTGGGTGGCTGGGTCTGTGTGTGTGTGTGTGTGTGTGTGTGTGTGGTTGTGTGACTTCACAGAGCCTGAGTGAGACTTGTTTTATGTGTGGGTCCTGGGTCCTGTGTTAGAGTGTGTGAGTGGAGCTGTGTTGTATCTTGGGGACCAACTTCAGTGGTCAGTGGGACTGACCTTTCTACCCAATGTCCAGCAAAAATAGACCCATCCCAACACACGTGTCTGCCCTTCCTTTCTGTGCTCTAGGATCCCTGTCTTTAGTCTACTGCTCCATAGTTTGTTTCCCTATCTCAGTTTCCTTTTATTTTGCTCCCCCTACTACTATCTTCCTAGAGCTGTCACTCATATGCATCTCCTCATAGTTTTATCTCCCCAGGTATCTCTGTGTATCTGCCTCTCACATCCTTGGCATCTCTGTCTCTCTCTGCACCCCTATTCCTAGCTTCCCTGTTCACCTCTGTCTCTTTGGCTTCATGGGGGCCTGGAGCAATGATGAAATGTGGGGTCTGCTGTGCTAAGAGCTCCTTGGAAGATGGGACTTAAGCCATTATGAGGATTTGCTTTTAGGGAGTGCTGTGACCCCATCCCCGGGGCAGAGTGCTAAGTATATGTGTTTCTGTCTGTATGAGGGTATGAGTCTGAGTGAGGATGTCTGAGTGTATCCATGTGACTGAGTGGCTATATCTGAGAGTGTGTATCTGAGGATAAGTGTGGGTCTTGTGTATCTGGCACCAAGGGACCAAAGGCATTTCCTGGTGCTGGGGCCCAAAGAGTGGAGGGGGGAGGTAAGAAATGGCTGGAACGTCAGGGGCAGAGGGACTGGACTCCGGATTTTCTTTATACCCCCCAACATGGGCCTCCCTTTTCCTCAAAAAACAGCTAGCTATGCCCTAAGGAAATATTTGCTGGGGAGTGAAAAGAGTGGAGGCGTGAGTCTGCGTCTGATTTTTCATTTGGTTATGTCCACGTGTGTTCAAGGGAGTGTTTTTGTTGACTGTGCCTAGTGAGTCCATGCATGAATGTGGCTGGGTGAAAATATAGGGAATCGCTCCCTGACGGGGACATAAGCAGCCCTCCTTTCCCTCTTGCTGGCCGTGGCTGTGCCTGTGGCTTCCTTTCCAGACTTTGGGGGAGGCCTCTTCCCTTCCCAGGGCCTCGGGTGGGAGGGGGGCGAAAGGGGAGGAGGGAGGATGAAAGAGGGAGGTGGGGGCCTAGCTCAGGGCGGCTGAGCTCTAGGGCCCAGAGGGGCGGAGGAGGGAAGGGAAAGGAGGGGATGATTCTGGGGTCCCAGAACTGAGTGGAGCTGAGACGGGGTGCTGTAGCTGGTGGGAGGAAGTCCTGGAGGCCATGGACATTCAGCCACTGGGATCACAGAGGTAGGGTGGGGCTCAACAGGGTAAATGTTGCTGGGGTACGGGGTGGCAGGGGGAGGGGGTGGGAAGCCATTAGACACATTCAGACAGATACACAGACACATGGACGCCCTTGTTCTGCTCTACTTGGGAGGGGTCTATGCTGTTCCTCTTCTGGAGCCCTTGCCTGCCTGGCTCTTTCCCTATCTGCTACTTTTCCTGTCCCCATGGCCACTTCCTCACTGCCTTTCTCATTTTGCTCTTCTCCCATCCAGAATCCCTCTCTCCTAGCATCCGCATAAGCAGTGGTTACCATACAAAAGACTTGGTTACCTCCTTTGCCTTTCTAGTTCTGTCCTAGCCCAGCCCTTCCCTCACTGAACCCCTACCACCTCCCAATCTTGACCTTGGAGCATCTCTTGGTCCTGTGGCCTCCACCCCAGGTTCCCTTCCCTGCAGGCTTCTAGATCCTTCAGCCTTTTCTCCCCTTCCCGACACCCTGTCTCCATCTCCTGGCTGCTTGCCCACTCCCAGCCTCTGGCAGCAGCCAAGGCATCTGGATCTGCTTAACTCTGCAGCCTCAGCCTGCACCCTAGCCCCATCCAGCCTCACAGGCTTGAGACCAACAAGATTCCAGAGTCAGGCCCAGATGAGTGGCCCAAGGAGCCAGGCCCAGGAGAGAAGAGACCTGGCAGCCAGAGGAGGGCTAAGCCTCCTGGTAGGAATATAGCAAGGGCTCAGACCCACGGTGACAGGCCCCCACCCAAGGTTGGTGAAGGCTGTCTCAGGTAATCAGAGGCAATGACTAGTGCAGGGCCAGGTGGGGGTAGGCACTGGAATGCCCAACAGCTGGGTTGGAGGAGTTAATGGGAGTGACTGAGCTGGTGCCAACACTTGGTGCCAGGGGTGGGCGCCAAGGGTGGTGTGTGTGTGGTGGGGGGGACTGCTGGCACAGCCTGTCGCCTCCGGCTTTTGTTCTGGGCCCTAGGCCCAGAGATGGAGGGTGTGAGTGCGCATGTGTGTGTGTTTGCATGTATGCACACGCAGCACTGGGTGTATGGTGTTAAAGGGGACCTTAGATCAGATCCCCTGATGTTTTCGGATATCCTTACCCCATGTGGTACCTAAGTTTTCTTCCTAGAAAGTCCCAGTTTAGAAGAGGAGGAGGCAGGCTTTAGCCTCCCATCTGGGAATGGGGGATTGCTGATCTTACCTTTCTCCCCACAGATGAGCAGCAGCTGCTCAGGGCTGAGCTGGGTCCTGCTGGCCGTGGCTGTAGCCCTGGTGTCCGCCGTCTCCCCCTGTCCCCAGGCCTGGGGCCCCCCAGGTGAGAAGAATCCTGCTATATGATGCTAACTCTGACTTTTGACTTGCCATCCTCACTGTGACCCTTTCCATGCCTAATCTGTGGCCCCCAACCCCTAACATCCAACCTGACAACATCCCCTCTCTACCCTGTCTTCTAACCTCTGTTTCCAGATTATAACATGATGCTTTGACCCAATGACCCCATCCAGGGCTTAAGAGTCTGACCCTTATCCTGTCATGCTTGCTAATTGGGGGCTTGGATGGGAGAGAGGGAAAGGAAGAGCATCTCCTTTCCTCCACAGGTGTCCAGTATGGGCAGCCTGGCAGGTCCATGACACTGTGTTGCCCTGGAGTGACTGCTGGGTAAGTGCCCCACCTGCCCATTGGCATTGGGCTGACACTCATGACCCTTTCTTGACTCTGTCCAGTCCTCATGCTCCTCCCATCCTTGCCCCTGTGTCTATAATCCTCACCTCTCCAGCTATCCTAACTTTCAAACCATCCTTATTCAACAGAAAATTTTAACCAACATGTATTGAGCACCTGCTGAGTCCCTGGTCTATTCTAGGCTCTGGGATCCAGCAGTGCACAAGCCTGGCAAGATGCCTGTCCTGGCAGAGGTTACATTCTAGTAGGACAGACAGATAATAAGCAAATACAAATCTTGCCGGGTAGTGGTAACTGCAGGGCAGAAAATCAAAGAAAAGTGATATGGAAAATGATAACTGATTGGTTACTTTTTATTGGTAATCAGGGAAGGCTTCTCTGAGGAGGTGACAGTGGAGCTAATTTCTGAAGGTCAGGAAAGAGGCAGACACGCACAGGTCGAGGTACAGGCATTCCTGACAGAGGGAACAGCTAGTGCAAATGCCGTGAGGTGTGAATGAGAGAGAGGCAGAGACACAGGCAGAGGGAGAGCAAGCTCCCTGTGGAGAGCCCAATGTGGGACTCGATCCCAGGACCCCAGGATCATGACCTGAGCCAAAGGCAGATGCTCAACCACTGAGCCACCCAGGCGTCCTGAGTTCAATACTCTTGAATAGCAACAAGATCAATGTGACCGGAGTGTAGTGGGGAGGAGAGGGAGGAGCTGAAGAAGGAAAGGAAGGCAAGGGCTAGGTCACCAGGGGCTTTGTCAGCTCCTGGACTTAAAGGACTCTGGGTTTTATTGCAAGCACAGTGAGAAGCCAATGGAGAGCTGTGGCATAGCTTACGCTTTAAATCTTCCCTCTATCATCACCTCATCTCACCCCCAGGGCTCCGGTGTCCTGGTTTCGGGATGGGGAGACAAGGCTGCTCCAGGGACCTGACTCTGGGCTAGGGCATGAACTGGTCTTGGCCCAGGCAGACAGCACTGACGAAGGCACCTACATCTGCCGGACCCTGGATGGTGCACTCGGGGGCATTGTGACCCTACAGCTGGGCTGTGAGTTGGGGAGGGAGTGTTGGGTGGCAGTGATGAGACAAGGCAAAGCACACCTGAGGGAAACTAGGCCCTGAGTAAGCCTTCTAGGATGGGAAGGACCTGGGGACTTCTCAGACTCCAGTTGCACCTTCTACCTCTAGACCCCCCAGCCCGCCCTGTTGTCTCCTGCCAAGCAGCTGACTATGAGAACTTCTCCTGCACTTGGAGTCCCAGTCAGGTCAGCGGTTTACCCACCCGCTACCTCACCTCCTACAGGTGTGTGCATGATCGGGTATGTGTGCCTCTACATTTGGGTGTACAGGCACAACATGGGTATGGGAGGCATTGAGGGAGATCCTGAGGAAGGCCTTAGAGAGGGGGAGGATTCTCATTTCCTTCCTGACCTCCGATGGCCCCCTCCCTGCCAGGAAGAAGACAGTACCGGGAGCTGATGGCCAGAGGTAGGATATAAGGGAGAGGCTGGGGGCTCCAGTTGGATCCCACAATAAGCATTGCCAAAGCTCAAGACCACATCCTGTCTCCTAGGATGAGTCCGTCCACAGGGCCCTGGCCATGCCCACAGGATCCCCCAGGGGCTGCCCGCTGTGTAGTTCATGGGGCAGAGTTCTGGAGCCAGTACCGAATAAATGTGACTGAGGTGAACCCCCTGGGGACCAGCACACGCCTGCTGGATGTGAGCTTGCAGAGCATCTGTGAGTACCTGTTCCTACTGATCCCTCAGATCCTCACTTCAGAGACCCCAAACGGACTCCAGAGTACAAATAGCCTGATACAGAACCTCCCCCTGCTAGAGCTCCCTCTTGACACAGACCCCATTTTAGGACACAGTTTCCGTGGAGACTAAGAAACCAAAGAGATTGGAGCCCAGGAGGCACAGTTACCTCAGCCTCTAGAGGCTGCTGCCACAACCCCTCTGGTTTCCTAGGCCACAAATCCTTCCAGGTACCTGGCCCCAGAGCTGCCTCTCAGCTTCTAGGCTCTGTGCTGACGGCAGCCGTATCTCATGTCCTCCCTACCCAGTGTAAGCCCTTGCTGGCTCCTCTTTCCTTTTTTTTTTTTTTTTTAAGATTTTATTTATTCATGAGAGACACACAGAGAGAGGCAGAGACATAGGTAGAGGGAGAAGAAGGCTCCATTCAGGGAGCCTGATGTGGGACTTGATCCCAGGATCCCGGGATCAGGACCTGAGCCGAAGGCGAAGTAGACACTCAACTACTGAGCCTCCCAGGCGTTACCTCTCTTTCCTTTTGGTCTATATGTAAGAGGGGGGAACTAAAGCTCTAGCTAAAATTTAGACTCATTAATTTTCTTCCTTGATTGGAAAGTAGAATCATTCTAATTCACTAAACAAATAGTTCAAAAACCGATCTCCAGATCTTAGCTCATTTTTTACAAAAGATTAAGCAAACAAACAAACAAACAAACAAACAAATAATAGGAGCAGAGGGAGAGGGACAAGCAGACTCCTTCTCTACGCAGAGCCTGGAGCCTGATGTGGGCCCAATCCCATGACCTTGAGATCATGACCCAAGCCCAACCAACTGAGCCACCCAGAGGCATCCCAACTCATTTTATAATGGGGATGACAGACAAGTACTGAGCCCAATGGATGATTAAGCTTAAGATTTCCCCAAACCCCTTGGAAGTACCTCCTTAAAAAAAAAAAAAAAAAGGAAGTGCCTCCCTCAAGCACCTTTAGGCTTACACCCACCTTCCCTTGGGAGGTGGTGAGGAAGGGATGGTTACCTGTTGACTGTTCTGACTTTGTGTCTCTACCACCCTCAGTGCGCCCTGACCCACCCCAGGGGCTTCGGGTAGACTCGGTACCTGGCTACCCCCGCCGACTGCGTGCCAGCTGGACGTACCCTGCCTCCTGGCCCCGCCAGCCCCACTTTCTTCTCAGGTTCCGACTGCAGTACCGTCCAGCTCAGCATCCAGCCTGGTCCACGGTGAGGCCTGGAATGTGTCCCAATCTGGGGGCTCTTTGTTCTGCCTCTGGTTTTATGTTCCTGGTTATTCTGCATGGCTTTCTGGTACACTGGCAGTTCACCAGAGCCCTGTCACCTCCCCTAGTAGAGTGGCCTCCATGGGTGAGCTTTTGTGAGGGGTGCTGGGGTTGCAGCAGGGCCCAAGAGGCCTAGTCTCTGCCCTCTGGGGCTGTTACTGATGTAAATCCATCTGTGGGAAGATAGGAGTGGCTTTTTACAAATAACATTTCTAGGGAAAGGAGTGCCTGGCACCCAGGGGCACAGCCTCAGACAAACATTCATATACCCAGATAAGAACAGCAGTAAATTACTCTCTCTAAAGTTGTTAAAGACTGGCTAACTGGCTAATATCGAGTCTGGGGAGCAGCTGCCTCAGATAATGATCAATATTTTTTGAGCATTGTCTGCCCACCAGGCACCATACTACACATTTTACGTGCATTATCTTATTCAGGTATATTCACCTCTATTTTACAAATGAAGAAACCAAGGTACAGAGCGGCCCAAGGTCACTCAGTAAGTGGTACAGCAAAGATTTGAACCCAGGCAGCCTGATGACACATCCTGTCTATATAACTACTGTGCACTTTTGTCTTCCAAAAACTAGGTGTAGATCTGACACCACCAGCCACCCCACGTGAGGCCCAGATGGCCCCACCAGTCTGACAGGGATAGAACTGGGAGGAATGGGTACTCTTTGCTGACTGAAGTTGGGGGCAGATAGGCTTAGCCTTTACAACCTGGATAATGGGCCAAGGTACCATCTTCATTCCCAGGTAGAGCCGGCTGGATTGGAGGAGGTGATCACAGACGCCGTGGCTGGACTGCCCCATGCTGTACGGGTCAGTGCCCGGGACTTTCTGGATGCTGGCACTTGGAGCGCCTGGAGTCCCGAGGCCTGGGGGACTCCAAGTACCGGTGAGAGACTGAGCCCAGGGCATGGGCAGAGGGCCCATCCCACAGCATCCATTGGCTGGACGGGTGTGCGAATAGGCTGCATGTACATGTTCTGCCACACAGGCGTGGCAATTGAGGTCTTGGTCTTTAGCCTTGGTTGCCTGCAGCCACACCCCAGGTTAAGCCCTTCCCCTCAATCTCTACCTCTGTTAAGTCCCCAGAAGCTGGCTCTACCCTTTCAGCTTCCACCTCCTGGGCATCCATGTTCAATCCAGGCCCTGGCCTCACCTAGCAGGCCCTGTCTTCCTCTCTCAACCTGTGTGGACAATTTTCCTCAGGTTTTGCCTCCCTTCAGGGTCCCTACCGAAGGAGATACCAGCTGGGGGACAGCCACAGAAGCAGCTGGAGGAGGAGCCTCAGGCAGACAGCCCCACTCCCCCCAGGCCCTCACTCTTGCCAGACCCACAGCCACTTGGTAAGCTTGGACAGGTAAACAAAGGTAGTATAGGACAGGAAAGCCCCAGAGAGAAAGGGTTTAGTCAGGCAGCCTTACACTGACAGTAGCATGTGACCCTCCTCAGACCAGAGAGATCCCTTGGAGCAGATAGCAGTGCTGGCATCTTTGGGAATCTTCTCTTTCCTGGGACTGGCAGCTGGGGCCCTGGCACTGGGGCTCTGGTAAGTAACTGCCATTGGTCCCTCAAATTCTGATCTCACACAGATGTTCTGATACCCACAGACCACACCTATTCCCACCCTTCATGATTTCCCAGTGGAACTTTCTGATTCTGGAAAGATCCCCCCCACCCCCCCCTCCAACTCCCATTATTTTCACTGCTTTCTCTCCCAACACTTTACTAATATACTGTTTTGGAGGAGACAGAGATGCCCTGCATTGTCAGGGAGACAGCTGCTTTTTTGTGCTCCAGGCTGAGACTGAGACCAGATGGGAAGGCCGGACCCCAAAAACCTGGGTTCTTGGCTCCAGTGATTCCAGTGGACAAGCTTCCAGGTAAGTAGGATATCTAGGAGGTTTGGACTCAAGAGATGTGTGCCCTCATTTCGAGTGTCTGGATTAAGAGCCAGATGCTTTAGTCATTATAAGGATATTGGGGAATCAGAGTTGGGTCACTTCATTCTTATGTCTGAGCTCAGGTATGGACCTTTCATTCTTGAGTCCTTGGGCTCAGAGTGGGGTCTCTTCCTTCTCTCACATGGTATTGGGGTTCCTAGATGGGCCCCCCTCATTTTCAGGGTGTTAAGCTCAGAGCTGGATATCTATCCTGATTCTTGGGGTATCTTAGATCAGACCTGGGTCTCCTCCCTCATTCTTGATGTACCTGGGCCTAGAACTAGGAACACTTCTTCATCTTCAGGGTGTTGGGGTCAATTAGAGCTGGGCTCCCCTATTCATTCTTGGAGTGTTGGGCTCAGAGCTTGGTCCCCTCCCTCATTCTCAGGGTGTCTGGGCTAAGATCTAGTCCTATTATCCCCCTTGATTTGCCTCCTGCTTCTTCTAGGAGCCCCAAACCTGTAGATGACCCAGGAGGGCTTCAGCTGATTCCACCTATAACTCTGTCTTGCTGGTGTGGATGGACAGACAGATAGAACCCAGGCAGAATAGTAGATCCCCATGGAGGCAGGGGGGCGGGAGTGGTCTCAGCTGGAGGTTCTGTTTGGAGCCTATTTCTATCAGATTGTTCGAAACTTGCCAGCTGAAAGGTGCCTGGACTTCTCATTTCATCTCAGAGTTGGAGGTCCACCTGAGGAATGTGTGTAGATATGTATGTTTGTGTCCATGTGTGCCCATGTGTATGTGAAATAGGAACATGTGTTCTCCAAATGTATGCATGTAGGTGCCTGGGGAGTATCTGTGGCTCCTTGGCGCTTGGCTTTGCCCCTGGAGGGGTTTGTGAAGATGTGAATAAAGAGAATGAAGAGGTTCTTCTGTTTATTGACATGTCTCCCAGTTTCAGAGTCAGGGCTCACAGGAGAATGCACAGAAGTTGGAAACCACAGTAAGAAATTGTTGTCCAATGCTGCTTTATTATTTTGGCTGGTGGGGGCCCTGGTCCATTTTCCCTGTCAGCCCCAAATTCAGATTAGGCAGAGTCCCCTGGAGCCTCCTCCCTTGGCGCTCAAACCACCGAGCCAGGCTGCGATTCTGAGGGTGGATGCAGACACTGCGTCGAGACAGGTGAAGCCTGGGGAAGGAAAGGTCCAAAGCCAGTCATAGCTTGGGGATGAGGTTAGGGGTCCAAAGGTTAGGGCAAAGGCTAGATGAAAACCCGAGTCAGCATCAGAATTAGCAACTGGGGTTGGGGTTGGGATCAGCATCAGGGCTTGGGACTGAGGTCAGAGTCAGGGGTCAGTATGAGGGGCTGGGGCAGAGCTCACACGAAGGCCTGGAGGTGACAGTCCCCATTGGCTTCCTGCAGTTCTACCCGGATGACCCTCCTCAGTAGCTTGTTCGAGAGTGGCTGGCGGTAGAGCTGAGTACAGCAGGTAATGCTGGGTGGCAGTGGCAGTGCTAGGGGACAATGGGGCCATGTGTTTTAGAGGGCTCCTGACCCAAAACCCTGCAATCAGCTGGAGGAAGGACTTCCCGGGTCCCTTTCCCTCCATCCCATTCAAATCCAGGGCAAATCCCTGGCCTTCTAGACCCCCTAAGCACTCACCTGCTCCAGGGTCTGGGCTTAGTAGCAACAGTAGCAGCAGGAGGCTGCTAGTAGATGATGGCCCCTTCATGCTTCTCAGCCTGGATACTTCTCTCTCCTCCTCCTCTCCTACCTTTTATTTAGATGCCTTTTACCTGAGGCACCAGATGAGTCAGAGGCAGGTGAAGATGTATTGCTCATCCTGTGACATTCCTGGGCCCTAATTGCCACAGACCCCTTCCTCTCTAGGGCTGCCATTTCCCATGGCTTCTAGACAGAGAAGCTGGAGAGAGGGGTAGTGCATGATGTGAAGACTGATGGTACAGTGACCAAGTAAGGGTACCTAGGTATCCACAGTGGCATCCAATGATGGATATTCACACTCACATACCCACAGTCACACTGAATCACACCTCACTCAGTCAACCTTACATGGTTAGATAACCAAAGACAGAATCACAGAGCCCCAGTTGTACTCAAAGTCCCACTCCCACAGTTGTGTCTTCATAAGCATTCAATCACACAGCTATATGAGCACACACAAATTCTGATAGAGGAATTGTGGGTGGGGTGGGAATAGAGGGCAGGCCGGCACCAACTTGCCTTCATCTTCCCCCCTCTACTTCCTGCCCTAGCCTGCCTGTCTTATCAGGAGAAATTGATGGGAAGGGGGTCCCTAAAGCAAGCCCTTTTGGCTGAGGACGAGTCTTGGCTGGGGCAGTCACATCCAGAGTGAGAAGCTGGGTCCTACTACTAGGGTAACTTCAGGACGTTGAGGAGTGGGCTGCTTTCCCCAAGGAGATGAGACAGGGAGGAAGGATGGAGTGGGTAAGGTGGGAAGATGAGAGAAGATAAAGTTCTTTGGTGCCAGGTTGCTGCTGTCAAACAGACTCAAGAAATCTTACCTTCCTGTCTAGTCCTGTCCCAGAAATGCCAGCCTCTTGCCAGCAGGGGCCTGGAGTTTCCAGAATCAATCCTGGCTTATTGAGACATCAGACTCAAGAGCTTAATTACCTCTCTTTTGTTCTATTCAAATTCCTCTCCCTGGTCCCAGGTCCCAGGTCCAGTAACACACCCCTCAGCCCCAACCCAACCCTTATACATTATGCATCCCATCCTCTTGCTAAAACCCCAACCTCTTTATCTCTTTCCTGTCTCTTCTTTGATCCCATTCCCAGGCCTCACTCTCTTCTTCCCCTTACTCCCTAAAGCAAAAGTCTTCCTCCTCCTCTGTCCTTTCCAAAAAGCTGGGAACTACCTATGGTGGGGCAAGCTGCTAAGTTTTGTGCCCCTGGCACCTTGAAGAATTTCCCACTCCTGGTCTGGGGATTTCAACCCTCAAGTCTTCCTCTGTGTTTGAAACATAAACTGAGTCATAACCCAGAAATCTAGACCTTATCTGGTTGTTGCCAGGGTGCCTTCTGCAGCCTTCTGCTCTGTGGGCAGCTATCCACTAGGGGCAGGCCTTCTCTTGAGATGGGGACACAAACCTATCCTGGGCATCTTTGTGCTGCAGGGCTGCTGAAACAATCAGGAGAGACCATCAGTTTCAAGAGTTAGAACTAGTCCCCCACACATGCTGGGAAGCCCACTCAAGCTTTCCTTCCTGTCCAGGGTGAGGCTTGAAGGCCTTTTCCTGGAGTTTGTCTTGGGGATACTCAGGAATTCTGACAGTGTCCTGGTATGGTGCAGGCCCAGGGCTGGAGAGGGTACTCCACTTTTGACAGGTGTAGACAAGGAAATGGCTCAAGAGCCTGGATCCATCCTTGAAGGTGGCTGCAACCCAGAGGTCACTCATCTTGAATTGCTAATACCGGAGGCCTTAGCGTCTCTCTCCTACCCTCCAGTCTGGATTTGTGCCCCAAAGCTTGGGTGCAGCTTACTTATCACAGATCTCCATCAGCTGATTGTCTGCTACATACTTTGTGGTATTCCTGGACCAATCAGTCCAGATACCTGGGAAGGCAAGAATGAATTCTTCTGGGTTATGCACCCATTTCTCCCCTTTGGCTATTCCAAAAATAGTTCCAAGTCTTCACCGCAGCCACAATCTGCTGAGGCAGGGGCAGCCCCCAGGCTGAAAGTTAGCTTTGCCCCCACCCATAAACAGGGCCTTCTCTTTAACTTAATTTTCTGGTGCCTTTTCTGGTGCTGGACCCAGTCCCTAACTGAAAGCAGGCCCACTAGGAGGCCCTCACCCTCAGCACTTTAGGAGCTAGAGGGTCTCAGGTCAACCAGGTGACAAGACAGAAAGGGGTGGCAGGGAGCCATGGCCTTTGGGTTTTCCTAGAGACACAGCAAAAACTGCTAGGTAAGCTGATGCCAAGTATCTTTAAACCTGGGAAAGACTGGGAGAGTCAGAAGTTGCAGTATTTAGGAAAGATCTCCAGCAGTCCCAAGTCAGTCTCCTGTGGCAGGCTGAGAGAGTCAGCGTCTAGGAATCTTCCCCTCCTCTCACAGCCTACTTTCTACAACTCTGGGCTTAAAATAGTTTATATTCACTCTCATTAAAAGATTCTCCAGACCCTTGGCAAAGTCCCGTCTAGGAGGAAGGTGGAACACATCGACGTGGGGATAAGGCTGGGAGGAAGAGTGGGACAGGGCTATTTAGTTCCTTGCACATAGGTTATTTACAGCGAAGTGTGTGTGTTTGGAGGGGATAAGAGGGGTTAGGTGGCAGAAGGCAGTCAATGACCATAACGGGAGGCCTGACACTGATGAGGGATCCTTAGTAATAACGGGGGCCTGGATAAGGAAGGGCATCTATCAGGGAGGGAGGCCCTGTCAGTAACGAAAAGCAGGCGTGTAGAGGGCCTCCCAGCCCGAATGGTGGCAGCGGCGACAGAGTCAGGAGGGCAGCACGGTGGCTTCGGTTTAAATCTTTAATGCACCGGCTGGCTGGGCAGTGGCGGTGGGGGTGCGGCGGGGGAGGCCGCGACCCGAGCGCTGGGGGGCAGGGCCCAGGCCGCTTGACAGACAGCTCATCAGGCCTCGCAGAGGCTCCAGCTTCTGCTCCCGGGGATGCGCCGAGCTGTGGGGCAATCCGACACCGGCATGAGGCAGGGATGGGACTCCCGGGTTCCCCCCATCCACCCTCCAGAGGCTGAGCCTCGTATGCTCCGGGCGGGCCCGCGGGGCCGCAGCCCCCTCACCTCCTGTCCCTCCGCCACATGCGCAGCCAGGGGAAAAAGTAGAAGCAACCCCAGTAGATCCTGCGGAGAGAAGGCCGGGCGGGGCGGGGCGGGGCTGACCCACAGACTCCGCCGCTCCGCCGCCTCGCCCCCCTCTCGGAAAGCTCCGCCCCGCCCTTTAGAGGCGGTTCCCTCCGCAGCCCCCGCCCCCCGAGGGGCCCCACGCCTCCCGCCCGCGGAGAACTTGCGCCCTCCCCCCACCCCAGAGCGGCTAGGTTCCTCCTCCGCAGAACCCGCCTCCACTCACTCCTCCTCCGCCTCCAGCGCCACCTCGTATCTCCTCAATCCCGACATGTCCAGGGCTCCGAACGTCTCCTGCGGAGCGGCATGATTGGATCAAGGATTCCCCAACCCCGGGTCCCCTTCTCTGTCATTCTCAGGACCGGTCTGACCTGTTCTCAGGTAATCTGAGGCAGGTGCCCCCGGGAAGCCTCATGCCACATTGGGACAGGGTGGGATTGAAGAATTGGGAGGCACCAGACATTAAGGAATTAGGAGGTCGGTCACCTCGGGGGCCTGGGGCATTTAGGGGGGGCAGGTCGAAAGGCTCTGCGGTCATGGACCTGGGATATTTGGGGCCCTGGGTGAGGATTTCGGGGGCTGGGATCACCTGGAGGGGGGCTGAGGGGTCGGCGCAGCCTAAACTCCCGCCCTCCCTGGCTCCACCCCGGAAACAGACCGTTACCGTTACGTCATAGGGACTCCGTCGCGCGCCTGGGGTGGGGCTTGCCTGTTACCCGGAAGGGGCGAAGTCGGAGCGCTTCTGCAGAGGAGGCGGGGTCAAAGTGTCACGTTGGAGGTGGAGCCAGGGCCCATCTATCGCTAAAGGGGCGGAGTCGGCCCTTATTACTAGAATGCGGACAGAGCTCAGGACTCTCTTTGTGAGAGATAGAGTCAGATTTTGGAGCTCTCTTCCTGGAAACCTCAGCCGCAGGCAGCAAGATAAGAGCTCTGGGACGTTATCCAGTACTGTTTTCCCTGTCCGCTCTCCTCTTTCTTTGCCCTCTGCCCTGCCATTTGTATGACCCTGGGCTGAGGAGGAATAGGTCTCCAGAGAGGGCCCAGCCCAGATGGAGCAGACTACAGAAGTACTTGATGTGTGAGTGGCCTTGGCCAAGTCACTTAATGGCCAGAGGGTCACAGCCCTTTCTCTCTGAGCTGAAATTTATCTTTATCTTCCTGTGACTTATGTCCCTACATTCATTCATTCAACAAATGTAACAGGCTAGGAATGGGTATACAGCAGTAGAGAAGACATCATTACAGTAAACATTAGCATACTGGTTGGAGGCAATAGAGGGTGCTCCAATAGAGCCCAGAGAGCGCAATTAACCCTGTGTAGGAGGTTGGAAATAGCTGCCCCAGTTAGTCTGCGGAGGGAGGAACAGAGCCTTCTGGCTGGACTGTAGGGGAGAGAGTGACCAGAAATAAGGGAAGTGCAAGTTCCCTCATGCTGAAGTGTGGAAAACGGATACAACTACTCTTTCCCCCCATCCCACCTTTCTCCTTCTACATCTCTTTCTGCATGGGCCACAAATGAGATTGCAGACAGATCCATGGGTACCAGTAGGGCTTTATTGGAAGCATTGTAGTCTGAGTGTGGAGGAGAAGCTACGCTTCTGGCACACTCATCCCTGCTCACACACTCACACTCACATTGACATTCCAGGCCCTGAGGTGACTGCGTCAGGTCTGGTGCAAAGTTGCTGGAGGCCTGGTTTCCCTTCTGATCTTTGGTTCCTCAGGGCTGCAGTGATTCACATCCCTTCTCTCAGACATACCACTCCTTCTGGGGCTGTCATGGGCTAACTGCTGTGGCCCTTGTTCTAGGGGAGGAAGGAGAGTCAAGGTCATGGGTTGGGGTCTTGGGCAGGGGCTCTGAGGGAGGAGGCAGGGCTGGGGAGGGCTGCGCTTGCCTTTGCAGAGTTCTTCTGCAGTCTCCGGATGATGCGGTCCACCCAGGGCTGGTCGGGGGGGTGCACAGAGCTGGCGACCCTTCAGTGTGGTGAACCTGGAGTCAGAGGTCAGAGAGAACACAGTCCTCTCAGCATAGTAAACTTGGAATCAGAAGGAATGGAACATCCTGTAACCCAGCTTCCTGGCAGGCCCTGGTGTGAGGGGCAGAGGCTGAGGACCACATCTGGGAACCTGTTTCAGGGGCTTCCTTGTGGGGAGGAGCTTGGCAAGGAGAACAGAAGTAAGATGATGAGTGGAGGCCCCAGGTGATGGAGGAGGTGATTGGGAGAGGAAGAGACTGGTTACTCTTCAGTACCCCCTACCCCAAGACAACAGTACCCTGCAGCCATCATTGAGAAGGAGATAGGAACAAAAAGTTACCAAATATGTTCCTGGGAATTGGATATTGGTTATTGGCATCACTCAGAGCTGGAGAGGGGGAGGTGGTGGTAGTGTAAGGGTTAGGGCTTGAGGGACTTTTAGGTGGGAAGACCATGGCCCTGACTAGAACTCAGGATGCCTGGTGCCCACTGCCTATAGCTTTAGTGTTCCTCTCTTTTCCATCCTTGTGCACCATCCTCTTCTTCCTCTGGAAACCTAGGCTAAAGAAGGTAGAGCCTCTAAAGAGAAGGGCAGTCAGAGGCCCCAGGACTCATCCAGGTACTGACACAGGACTGCCAGGGGCACAGGCACATCTATATCACACGGGTACACACATGGGACGTGGGCACATTCACACCCCACAAGTCTGTGTATAAATTGCACAGGAATATGCACAATGCACAGGTATACCGACAGTACACAGGAACACATAATCACAGGGGCACACCCATTTGGCACATGTACACTCTCAGGTCACAGACACACTTGGACCTGAGTGTTGATCTGAATGCACAATCTGCTTCACAGATTCTCCCCTTCTCTGCCCCTCCTTACCTTACCATTTCGCTCCTTCCCCTTTCCAGGGGAGACCAAGAAATCAGTATGCTGAGAAGAGGAGTGGTGCTGTGCAGGAGACCATGGAAGACAGAGAGAGATGGACAAATGGGTAGAATCTTTGGAAGCAAGTGTGGGTTGCAGGAGTCCTGCCTGTGTGGAGCTTGTGTGAGACTGTGAGACTGGATGGCAGAGTGAGCGGAAGAGTGAGGGTGAGGGTGAGGGAGGCCATGATAGTTCTATGAGTGTATGTGAGCCTGTGTGAGGTTGTAGCTATCTCTCGTTTATGGCCTCCTGAAGCTTTCATTTTTTGTATCCAGAAATTTCTTCCCTTCTGTTGTGTAATAAAGAATTTGACTGGTCTTTGCCTCTGATTTCTGAAAGGGAGACTTAAAATCTTTGAATTTCCTGAATAATAGGAATGCCTTTGTTATTCATGAGCCCCTTGGATTGTCATACCTGAGTTTATGCTAAGAGATGAGGTGGCTTTGTATCATCTGGGGAATGGTCACAAGAAAGATGAACCATGTCACTGGAAAGTTGGGGCTTTGAGCCTGCCTAACCTCTGGGAACGGGATGGACACTGGATATTGAGTTCAGTCAATTCAATCCTGCCTACATAATGAAATCTCAATAAAAACTCTGGATGCCAGAGCTTGTAGAACTTCCTGGTTGGTGAACACATTGATGTGCCAGGAGGGTGGGGCCTAATGTGTCCCAATGGGATTAGAGCATGAAGCTCTGCATTTGAGACCTTCCCAGACTTTGCTTTGTGTGTCTCTTCATTTGGCTGTTCCTGATGGATATCCTTTATAAACAACTAATTATAAGTATAGCACTCCTGACTCTCATATGAGTCATTCTAATGAATTATTGAAGCTGAGGGATCATGGGAACTCCCTGGGCTTGTAGCCAGTTGGTCAGAAATGTTCATGGCTTGGGGACCCTATAAGTGGGGACATGTTGGGGACCATACCTGTAAACATGTGGAGTCTGACACTAATGGTAAGTGGTTAGTGTCTGAACTGGATTGGAGTACATGAGTTGATAGAATACCTTTCTTTTTTCTTTTCTTTTTTTTTTAAGATTTTATTTATTCATGAGAGACACACAGAGAGAGGCAGAGACAGAAGCAGGCTCCATGCAGGGAGCCCAATATGGGACACCATCCCAGGACTCTAGGATCATGCCCTGGGCTGAAGGCAGATGCTCAACCGCTGAGCCACCCAGGCGTCCTGATAAAATACCTTTCCACTGAACATTTTACCTACTGTCTCTGTCTAGAAGAATTTTCTATCTCTTCCGTAACTCCTCAGTAGCTTCCTTACCTCATTTCCCTTCTTTATCTTTAGCTCTGAGAATCTTAGTAAATCAGCAATTTGGACAAAGCAAGGTGTGTGGGGGGGATATTGGCACTTTCATCCTTAGGCGAATGTTTACAATGTCCTCTCCTGGAGGCATTTGAACAACCAGTCTCAAGGCTAGGGGTCAAGGCTTGGTTCCAGATTAGAGGTCAGAGTAAGAAATACTTCCCTTTCACACGCTTCACCTCACCTCAACTCTTCTTTGTGCTTCAAAGATACCAGCAGGTGGGAGGAATGGGGAAAAAAACCCAGTTGGGTTCCCCAGATTCCCTAGAACAATGACAAGTAGCAAGATAAAACTGGGGAAGTTCCCTTCTTGGGTTCACCAAGTCTCCCTAGACCCATCACAGTGTCTATGCATCTGTCATCTGAGAACTGATCTTCACTTGGACAAGTATTGCTAAAGGGAAAGTTTTTTGGAAGCAGATCCAATTCCTGTATCACATCTGAGGACTCCAGGGTTTCACCCTCCTGACCCAGCCAGCACTGACTCTTTCCCCTGTTGACCCATTTTTCTATGCCCCAAGCTGAATCCAAGAGGGATAGTTTGAGTGGAACCTGGCCCAGAATAGGGGTGCAATTTTTTCTGCCTTCTCTATCATCCATCCATGTCTACCCATCTTTGTCTCTTTATCAGTCTATTCTTCCTTCTTCCATCTTTCATGTCTTTTCATATCTTCATTTCCATTTGTTCAGGCATATGTTCAACCATTTTAATCCAGTCATCATCTATTAATGCATCTATTCATCCATCTATTAGTTATGTTAATAATAATTGTTGGTACTTGAGTGCCAGGCACCATGCTAAATTCTTTAAATTCATTGTCTCAAGGCAATTCCTGAAGTAGAGTGCTGTGGGCTATGTTTTTGTTCATGCAGACACTTCTATACTCCTTTTTATGATTTCTTTAGGGAACTCCCATCTCATGTGGTCTTGGTGAGTCTGTCAGCCACAGTGCTCTGATCAGAGTACCCCATTTCCTGGTCACTGGGATATATTGAAGAATTAAGTATATGTTATAAACAGTTGGATTTTTTTTTTAAGATTTTATTTATTTATTCATGAAAGAGAGAGAGAGAGGCAGAGATCCAGGCAGAGAGAGCAGCAGGCTCCATGCAGGGAGCCTGACGTGGGACTCGACCCTGGGTCTCCAGGATCACACCCTGGGCTGAAGGTAACGCTAAACCGCTGAGCCACCCGGGCTGCCCCTAGTTTGAGTTTTTTGTGAGATTTGATATTAGGAAAAAGAGGCCTCTTTTATTTATTTACATTTTTTTTAAAGATTTTTTTTTCTTAAGTAATCTCTACACCCAACATGGAGCTCAAACTCACAATCCCCAGATCAAGAGTCACATGCTCTACCGACTGAACCAGTCAGGCACCCCAAAGGGTCTTTGTTTTTAGATTGTTCACTATAAAAATGTAGACTTGAGGCTTCCAGGGTTCATATTTTCTGCTGCTGGAAGAGTACCTATCTACACGAGGAATGAAGCCCCTAAAAATAATTAGAAATTAAGAGATGGAATTAACATAATTTGGATCCCTAGGACAGAAGTAGATTAAAATCTATTAAAAAAATTTTTTTTGAGAGAGAGAGAGCGTGAGCGAGCATGAGTGAGGGGATGGGCAGAGGGAAAGGGGAAGAGAGAATCCTAAGCAGGCTCCGTGCCCAGCTGTGGAGCCTGATGTGGGGCTCGATCTCAAGACCCTGAGATCATGACCTGAGCTGAAATTGAGAGTTAGATGCTTAACTGATTGAGCTACCCGGGCACCCCTAAAATCTATTTTTAATGGACCTAGTTATGTAATATGATAATTTTAACTTTTTGCTTAAGCTACTTTAAGTTGGGTTTTTGTCATTTGCAATGGGAAGAGCTCTGAATAATAATTACTGTATTATTCCCATTTTACAGATGAGGAAACTAAGACCCAGAAAAATTAATTTTGACAAGTTTTTTCAGCTTATAAATGGCAGAACATTGGTATTTGGAGCAAACTCTGATGTACTATGTAAATACATCCATCTACCTGTTCATTCATCTGTGCATCCATCCCATTTATTTATTTATTTGACTACCCAGGCCTAAGACTCCAAAGGCGATAAGCCTTGTCTCACTTGCTAAATCCAATTCTGAGGCTGCTTTTGGATTAGGGGTTGGCAACCTTTTTCTGTATAGGTTCGTTTGGTAAATATTTAAGGTTTTGTTGGCTGTACTGTCAACTGTAATGGCTACTCAACTTTGCTGTTGTAGCCCCAAAGCAAACATAGACAATATATAAAGGAACAGGAATGGCCGCATTGCAATAAAACTTTATTTACAAAAATGGGTGGCAGGCTGAATTTCTCCCATGGGCCTTAGTTTGCCAATCATGGTTTGGATCAATATTTTTGGGAACATGAGTTGGGAGTGGGAATAAGTATGCCTTGCATTTGTCCTTACCAATGAAGGAAAACAAGATTTTAATATTCAAACTCTTATGTTTGTGTCTGACTTTATGACCTTGGTTGAATGAGGGAAGAGATGATAGTATCCTCACCTGTAAAATAGAAATAATGTATATCTTGTGTACATGTGCCTGACTCACACTGGGCACTCAGTGAAGGTTAGGTCAATCCCGTTTCTCATTTATCACCTACCATGTATTACCAGTATCAGGAGACTTCTCTTTATGATATCCTGGATGCAGTGAGGACACTTCAACCTAGCTTGCTGAATTCAGGAATCCTGCTTCTAAGAATAAGCTTTCATATAAGTTATATAGAGTCAGCTCTAGCAAAATCCAAATTTCTCTTTTAAATAACTCTACTCCAACTCTTATCTGCACCATTCCACTGCCTAAAACCAATCTAAGTACCCGACAAAACAAAGAGCTCTCTAGTCAACAAGCCCTATTGGACCTAGAAGCAGTTTGGCTTCCTTTTATGTCACTCAGGATATCACCCTGTACCCCAGATGGCTTTTCAACCTATTCTAAACAAATACTGCTATCTAGGAGAAAAGATTGTGTCCATATGTATTTGTATGTCTTTGTGCCCATGACTGTGTGTGTGAAATCATTTGTCTGATTTACCCTTGTGTTCATATTGTGATTATAAGATTAAATGTTTGTGGTATGGGGATGCCTGGGTGGCTCAGTGGTTGAGCGTCTGCCTTCGACTCAGGGCGTGATCCCGGAGTCCTGGGATTGAGTCCCACCTCGGGCTTCTTGCGAGGAGCCTGCTTCTCCCTCTGCCTATGTCTTTGCCTCTCTCTCTCTGTGTCTCTCATAAATACTTAATTAAAATCTTAAAAAAATGTCTGTGGTATGTCTTTTGATGTATATGAATGATTAACTATGTACCTGTGTATGTATAAGTGGGTAGGACACATGTAAGTGGGGGTGTTGGCACTGATTTGTGTGTGGGTATGTATTCTGGTTGCTGTTCAGTCCATCGATTTGTGATTCCCACCCTCACAGGCCCTGTAGGGAACATCTATTGTATAGGGAAAAGGGGTATGAGACTCCCAGCCTGGGTTCTCAACCTCCAGGGGCCTGTAGAGGGCGTCTAGTGTATACAGAAAATGAAAATGTGTAGCTCTCGGCCTGTGGAGGGGGGCTTTGGCCTGAGGAGGCTGGGCTGTCTTGTTCCAGAAAGGAGCTGGA